TCAATAAAAAGTTTTCCACAATCATCAAATAATTAAATTGGATAGATATAACTCTCATACCTTGTTAATTGCTAACAATAGAGAGAAAACTGTTATAAATTATTATGGAAAGAAACATAACTAAAAGTATATATATATATATATATATATATATATATATATATATATATCATATAACAGAAACATTTTTCTAAGCACCGTATTGATTTCAAACTTCCATGTCCTTTTATATTCTCATATGACTTTTTAATTGCCTAATAGAAGCATTTTTATATGCACCATATTGATTTGAAACTCATATGTCTTTTCATATTCTAAAATGATTTTCCAATTGCCTAATAATAATTATGCTTTAACATTAAACACCAAACATGTTATATAAACCCTATGTAGGAAGGATTGGATAATAAAATTAAAAGAAAAAATGGCAGTGGTGGAGTGGCTAAAAGAGCTATACAAGTCAAGGTTGTTGATGAATATATCATTTTTTTACTCATAGTCTGATAGTCATATATAATGTTTTCTATTTTCCTATAAATGTCTAACAACCTTGATTTTTTTTCCAGTGGTGGTTTTGCAATTTTCGAAGTTACATGTGAGAACATTATCATTAGCCTATTTTTTTTTATCTTTTCGTTTTTATTATGAATTATTTCAATATGTATTGTTTTTTAGTACTTTTTTTGTTTCCTTTTATATTTGTAGTTGTACATGTATAAAAGGTTGTTTGAACCGTATATTGTAATTGATTATATCAATACACGTTAAGTGTATTGATATGCTCCATAATTTGTTTCATAAAAACTCAATTTCAAGTCCATCGTTGTACCAAGTTGTAGAAATCTTATATAAAGTGGCCTAAAATATGAAGTTTACAAGCTTCACAAGGTTTCTTTAATAATTATTTTAATGTTATTAATCATTTTTATTTTATGCCTTAAAAGGCAGCAAATATGCTCTAAATACTTTTATATAAACTTCGTATAGATATAATTATTTCAAAGTTAATAATCACGGAGTTTACTTAAATCAGATTCATTCGAAATTTCTACAACAACAAAAGATTTTTTCAATTTTGGTGTACTTATGATTTCAAATTTTAAGTTATTATTCATCATAACTCAAACGTTTTTTAAACTATGATTCGTAGTTGGTAGTGTTATTTTCTTTTCCTTTCATTTATATACATTGTAATTATATTAGCAAAATATAAATAAGTTTTCTCACAAAAAAATTAGGTGTTTTAAGAGATTTGTTTTTAAAGTATGAAGAGTTGAAAAAGAAAATAAGTTTTATCGCATCATGGTTATTTCTGTGCGATTTTTTCATGGAACAATAATGTTTCTATATATAGAATTATAGAATGTATGTTGATTTCTATATTTTCTGTTTGATTTATAAGTTTTTAATAAGTTATTTTTGTTACAAATGTTATAATATATGTTGTAGTGTTTTTATGTTATTAAAATTTATAGTATTTATGTTTTTCATATATTTGTTATTCGGATAAAATACAAAAATCAACATATTTTTATATACAACTCACACAACTTAAAAAGGTATATAAAGTTATCAAAGAGTTATAGTATTTATCTTTTTATGCTATTTTTTATTCGTTATATATAGAAATTAACCTATGTTTGATATATATTTTATTAACAATGTTTTTTCATGTATAAATATTAAATCATAATTTGTATAATTAGGAGCAGGATTACATAATATGTGTGGGTGTGTGTGTTTGCCATTAAAAAATGTATATAACTATATACTCTTGCGCCACGCGCGACGATTCGCCTAATATATATATATATATATATAGATAATATATATATATATATATATATATATATATATATATATCAGTGTTGTAAAAAAATCCAGATTAGGTCCCGATTAATCTTCGATTAATCCCTAGGCGCTACTCGACCGATTAGAGGGCGCCTAGCGATTAACCCCTACATACACAATGACTAAAACAGTAGAACCCAATGAATTTTTAACACTTTGAAGAAGTTATATCTCCATAGAAACTATTGAGGTATAATTAGTGTTGTATTTTATCATATTAACCTATTTTGTTATGATATTAGTGGTATTTACGAACTTTTATGATATTAGTCATATTTTAATTTTTTAAAATCTATCATTTAGCAATTAATGGTCCCCGATTAATCTCCGTCTAGCCGATTAATCCCTTGACCCTAGTCCACCGACTAGCTAACGTCGAGCGATTTTTACAACCTTGATATATATATATATATATATATATATAGATATATATATATATATATATATATATATAGATATATTATATATATATATATATATATAATATATCATTATATCATATCATATCATATCATACTATATTATAAAGAAGCACTTTTCCTTTCACCACATTCATTTGAAAACTCCCATGACTTTTCAATTTCTTTCTATAATAATTATAAGTTGGTTAATAAGGTTAAATAAATATCAAACCTAAAGTGTAATCATATATAAACTAAATTTCCAATATTAAAATAATATCTTTACTTCTACTTATTAAGTGATGTTTTTTAACTTTTAACATATTATACTTAATTTATTAGTTTTAATATATTGTTGGATGTAAACCATTATCATTTTAAATATACAATTTTGGAACTATTTGTATAAAATACATAAATTATTAATTTGAATATAACATTACAGGGTCAACTTAAATATAAATTTTAGTTTAACTTAAACAGCCCAAAAAGTATTTTGTAAATAGATAAAAGTGATTAATTGTAGTGTTTTTCTAATAATGATTATAAGTTGGTTAATAAGGTTAAATAAATATCAAACCTAAAGTGTAATCATAAATATACTAAATTTCAATTTTAATATAATATCGTTACTTCTACTTATAAAGTTATGACTTTAACTTCTAACATATTATACTTAATTTTTAGATTTAATATGTTGTTGTATGTAAATCATTATCAGTTTAAAGCTACAACTTTTTAACAGTTTCGACAAAATACTTAAATTGTTATTTTAAATATAACATTACAATGTCAACTTAAATATAAATTTCAGTTCCACTTAAAAAACTAAAGAATATTTTGTAAATAATTAAAAGTGATAAATTGTAGTAATAATGCAAAACTAAATTGTAATCTCAACTTACTAAAATATTTCCTAAAAATATTTTTATAATCATTAAAAGTTTTCAAATAAGTAACTTAAAATAACTTACAATAACAATAGTTAAAAATAATTCTATATAAATGATTATATTGTTACCTTTAAAATCAAAAAACAATGTTTCTTGTTTTAAATAATTATAATGATAGAAATTAAAACATTAAGTAAATAAATTTTAAAAAATTAATTAACAATAATAACAATTATAAATAACATTAAACCATATATTATATTTAATTTTATTCATGCGTAACTCGCATGTAGAAGTCATTCAAACGATTGATATTATGCAGTTATAATAGATGTACGGCATCGAAAACAATCATCTCGATGAAGAAAATCATCAGTTCGCCTAGTGTGTGTGTGTGTATATATATATATACTAGTTTATAACCTGTGGTTCCCACGGGTTATAAAATTAATTAAACTTTCATAATAAAAATTTATAATTATTAATCAATTATTTTAAAAAAATCATTTAATAAATTATTAATTAAGAGATATATCAAATTTTTAAAGTTATTATAACTTCAAATTTAACATATAATTAGAAAATATAAATTTGAATTTTGAAATGAGTTGCTTAATATATCTACATGACACATGACTTAATATTAATGAGATGTTGTATTAGAGTGACACTTGGCAAAAGGACATTAAAACTATTCATTTATTAGAATAGGGATATATATATATATATATATATATATATATATATATATATATATATATATATATATATATAATATATATATAGGTAGAGGTTCATTTGAGACCACTTATATTTTGTGAGACATGAGGACCAAATCTTAGCCTTTGATCAAATTTGATCTTGAGGCTCATAAAAAAAGGGATTAACACTAATTAATCTAACTGATTAGTTAATTAGGGGTAGATTAGTCACTAGGTTAAATTTAAGATGATCAGATATCAGGTTAGCTTAATTTTCACGTCATCAAGAAATCATCTCATTTGTTCCAGTTTTCTACCAATTTATTCAATGAATCAACATTCCTTGTTCTTCAATTCAATTTGATCGATATTCTATCTCCAATCTTATATTCTTTCAACCGATAATCGATTTGATTTGGACATTAATCGAACGATGCTAAATCATAGCTTTTAAATTCGCGATTTTTGTGTTTTTTGAGTTCATGTTCTTGATTCTTCTACATCTGCAATTGATAATCTGAGTGATTGATGTTTATGTTCATGTATCGACATTAGCAATTCATTAGAAGATATTGATCAATTTTAACTCTGTGATCATCGATTTCGGTAGAGGTTCAAGTGTTCAACGATTTCTGCTAATCTTCATCTTCAACAATTGTTTACGATCTTTTAAGCTGTGAATTTTACTCAACATCATGAAATCATCAAATGATCTAGGTTTGAGTTTTCATCGATTTCACTGTTACTTGCATATAACATATTCAATTTTTAACCTAATTCATGAATTGAATCATCAAGCTATTATCGATTTCTCCAATTTATATATGTATGATTTGTGATTTCAGCAATCAAACATCATCTGTTGTTGAGACATCCAATTCAACAATCAAACATCATTTGTTGTTGAATTTGTTTGATCTAGAAAAAAGTTTAATCTATAATATGTTATTTTACAATGCATCATCTATTTCATTGTTTGATTTTTAACTTTCATTCAATCATTATGTTTTTCAGCAATGTGTCATCTGTTTTCTTTTGATTAACATCATCTATTTGTTTTTCATTAACATCATCTTAGTGATAAGTTCATGAGACTGCATGTTATTCTTATAGAATATTGTACATACATTTATATACCAATAATAATAACAATTATGGATGATTTGGATATGCATGACATCGAAAACAATCATCTCGATGAAGAAAATCATCAGTTCGGTTCTAATGATTTAGATATTCTTCATAACGAGGAAAATCAATCGGAAACCCAAGGTAATTTTGTTGAATTTCACTTTATATCATGATTTGATCAATTGATCAAGGTTTGAGTTTTCATTAATTTCATTGTTAGTTGCATATAACATATTCAATTTTTAACCTAGTAATAGTTATGGATGATTTAGATATGAATGACATCGGAAATGATCATTACGATGAATAAATTCATCAATTCAGTTCTGGTGATTCAGAGATTCCGCATAATGATGAAAATCAATTGGAAATCCAAGGTAATTCTGTTACTGATATCGGTTATTCTTATAGAATGATGTTGCTGATAAGTTCATGTTACTGCATATTATGCTTATAGAATAATGCGCATATAACATTATGGTTTTTTATGATTACTGTCATATGAATGCAAATTATTCTGATTATATGTTAACATGGTGGTATATTCTTTTTTGTAGTTCAAAGTGACAATGTTGCAGCACAATATGGCTCTTGCAAACAATTCATTGGAGCTGATGGTTCTTTCTTTTGGATTCCAGAGGTTGAAGCTAGTTGGATACCTCCTATGGGTTCAATTTTTAAAGATATCTAAGATGCTATTAAGTGGTATAAAGGATATGCGTTAAGATCTGGTTTTGGTATTAGAAACAGAGAGGAAAAAAAATGGAATCACAACTTCAAAATATTTTATATGCAATAGCGGGGGATTGCCAAACACTTCTACCTTAGACACGATTAGTGTTGATCATAACAAGCAATTGAGAAATAGTAATTGTAAACGCACAAATTGCAAAGCTTTTGTTGCATTCAAAGTTATACCAGATTCTTCAGAAGTTTATCTGTGGCGCTTTGAACAACAACACAACCTCAAATTGATCAATCAAGATTGTATGCATCTTTCAAGAGCTAAACGTCAGTTGGATGTTGTTGATCAAGCTTTTATACATAAGCTTTCGAGTGCAAAGGTGGGGGAAACTACAACATATAGGCTAATGTGCGTTATAAAAGGAGGATGTGAATTTGTTGGTGGACTAGAGATAGATTGGAAAAATTTTACAATGGATATAAATTGTCACAGCGGGGGCACTGATGCAAATTTGTTGATTACAAAGCTTTAGAATCGTAAAGAGAATGTTACAAATTTTACATACGGATACAGATGTGACAAGAAGCGGCTAAATGCTCTCTTTTGGGTTGATGACACTTCAAAACAAAACTTTGAGTTATTTGGGGACGTTGTTTCGTTTGACGCAACATATCGTACAAACACGTATTTATTCTAGAATTATAAACATTTTTTAGTTATATATTCTAATGGTCTTTTTTTGTGTTTTTTTAAGTATTGTATGGTATTTGTACCTTTTACTGGCATTGATAATCACAAAAGGTGCGTCATTTTTGGAACTGGTTTGTTGTGTAGAGAAGATACAAATTCCTATATTTGGTTACTTCGGTCATTTTTGAAGTGTTTTGGAAAAGCACCAATCATGGTCGTGACCGATCAAGATCCAGCAATGAAAAAAGCTATTGAGATAGTATTGCCATACACAAAACATAGATTTTGTATGTGGCATATCACAAGTAAACTTCCATTGAAGGTACTAACATTATTGTTATATTCTTATCAATATAAATATGACATTATTTTCAATATAAATATGACATTATTGTTATTTTCTTATCAGAATATTAAATGACATATTTTTTGTAATTAGAATAATATATTAAATGAAATGCCTTTTTATAATGTATTATATTCTTATAAGAATATTAAATGAAATATTTTTTGTAATTAGAATAATATATTAAATGAAATGTCTTTTTATGCTATATTATATTCTAACAGAATAATATATGAATTGTTTTTTGAAGGTAAGCTGGGAAACAATGAATGAATCAGATTTTAAGGCGGACTTCAATAGTATAGTATGGGACTCCAAAATTGCTGTGAAAGATTTTGAAATGAGATGGGATGCATTAATGGTAAAATATAAGTTACACGACAATAAATGGATGAAAGATATGTTTGATTTGAGAAGCAGTTGGATTCCAACCTACTTTAAAGATATACCGATGTCAGGTCTAATGAGAACAACTTCTCGGTCGGAAAGTGAGAATTCAGCATTCAGTAGGGTATCGCATCATGGTTATACGTTAAACAATTTCATGAATGCTTTTGAGTCTGTTATGGAAAGGCAAAGGAATAGTCAGATCAAATTTGATTTTGATACATCTACTATAATTCCAATAATCAAAACACCTCTTGAAGATATGGAGAAACATGCATCTATGGTATACACCAAGACTATTTTTCTCATGGTGCAGAGGGAGATTCTTCATTCACTTGTTTGTTGTTCACAGAAGAGTGTTACTTCAGGCGTTGTTTCCGACATATGCATTGTCAAACATAATGTTGAAAAAATAAGAAAAAGTTTAACACAAGTGAAGGTGATTTTGAGGTAATGTTGACATTTTATAATTCTAATATTATATTTTTTATTACTGAGTTATTGTCTTTAATTTTTTTTTATATTATTCTAATTTTTCTTTTTAGAATATACTTAATATTCTAATACTTTTGAAAAATATTCTAATTTTTCTTTTTTGAATATACTTAATATCCTAATACTTTTCAAACATGTTGAATTCAACAGAGAAGATCTAACGGTGAAATGTTCATGCATGCTTTTTGAGCGGTTTGGATTTTTTTGTAGACACATCTTCTGTATTCTAAAGATTTATGACATACAAGAGATTCCGTCAAGATACATTCTTAAGAGATGGAGAAGAGATATTATCCCCACCACAGTTTTGAAAAGGGCGTTTAGATATGGTGATTCGTCTTAAATGTTGAGAAGGTTGCATACAAAGATTTTTCCATGCTTGATCAATGCTTGTCTTCATTAAGTAATGATGACAAGAAGTTAGAAGAGTTCATGCAAAAGCTAGAAGTTTTTATGACTGATATTGGTGAACAAGGTTCAGACGAATCATCGGTTACAAAAGAAGCTCATATTGATAAACTTTACGGAGCTACTACGAATCCTGAAGTTGTTGATGTTGAAAATCCACCTATGGTGAAGAATAAAGGTTCTGGCACAGGAAAACGTTTAAAAAGTGCTTTGGAGAAGGCTACTATTCAAGGTAACAAGCAATCAAGATCATGCAAAACATGTGGGGTTAAAGGGCATAATTCAAGGAAATGTTTGACATTGTTGAATAACTCCAAGGTACAAAGTGCATAGTTGTGTCTAGAAATATATTTCGATTTTTTTCGTATATCAATAAAGTTCAATAATACCATATAGAAAAAAGTTTGAATTTCTTTAGTTTGGACATTTTTCAGATGTTTTTGTTTGTGATGATGTTTGAGACATTTTGTTTGTGATGATGTGTGATACATTTGAAAACATATTGATTCTTTTAATATTTCAATCTTTAAATTTTGCATTGAAGTATATACGAATGAGTATAATGTTTTGTTATCAAATTATTATAATACAAGATTATATATGTAAGAATGCTATATAGGTATATGCAACATCTAATATTATTCTAATAGAATAATGATGTCATTAAACATTATTTTGTTAGAATATTCTAAAAAATTTATGTTTACTATAGAATATTCTACCATGACCATTAAGAAGTGATCATAATAACAACTATACATTAAGCATTAATCACCTAATAAACCATATCAAGTTTCTTACATAATACTAGGCATCATTTTTTTTGTCTAATTTGTTCAAAATAAGATAGATATTACAAAATGAATTGTTGTTAAGTCACCATAACCACGTTTATAAAATTCCAAACTTCTATCAAATTCTATTTATTACCCGTTTCTAATTCATCCATTCTATTGATACCTTCCTCTAACATCTTTCTTCTAGTCGCATGATCAAATTTTCCAAATTCGATTGCCTCTTTGATAACTCTCTCATTGTGGTTGTTGATTTCATGTGTGGCAATCTTAACAGAATATAAGGCATTTAATTTTACAAATTGCACATCTTGCACATCACTGCCTTTTTCCATTTTCACATTCCACTTTCCTTTCTTTTCTCCACAATATTTTTCCATATGTCTCATTAAAAGTGTTCAATTCTCTGTTGTCAACTTCTTTGTGTTCCAGTCAATTTTCATCATCTTCACTGTTGTTAATCGCAAACCTGCCCCTCCGTGTCTTGATCTAATCCCAAAGTTCCATTAATTTACAAAAATGTCACCGTCTATTTTATGGTTTAATCTAAATTAATATCAGCCTTTGATTATTCAAGATGAGTGGTCAAGATTTGGTCTCCCTATCTCACAAAACCTACTGGTCTCACATGAACCTAACTATATATATATATATATATATATATATATATATATATATATATATATTATATATATATATATATATATATATATATATATATATATATATATATATAAAAGATTGATCATCTAAGCTAAAACCCAAAATAAAATGTCTAATACAAAGTGACACCAATAACTCCTTACGTTAACAGCGATCATTGTGAATTTTTGGGTTGTTAGTTAGCCAACATAAGGGAATTCTTTTATAATATAAGAGAAATTGGTGAAAAAACATATGCAATCACAGTTTCCTTTATTCATAGATATATTTTCGTCTGGTTTCTTTCTATTCATAACTAATTATTGTCTGTGTATGATTTACAGTTTCAAAATATAACATATGATAACTATCTTTATTTCATTCCATAGAGTACAAAATAAATCTTCCAATAATATGAATGATTAATGACTAAAACATATATGATTTGAATTACCTGGGATTCCTTGTTAAGAGAGTAATATCTAAACAAGGAGAGTCTTTCCACACATTTGAGTGTCTTTTAAGGATCTCCCTGGCTTTGTCCCTTGGATGTGAATGTCGACCATTTACTTGTAGCACCATACATAGTTTCTCAACTGTTCCAACCCTAATCATCTCTTGAAGCACCCCATCTGTCGCAGAAAATTTGGATATCAATGAAATAATCATCAAGGCTCTCTCATCAACCTTATGAGAAACCTTCCCCATTCTTTTTGTGATCATAGCTAATCCGGCTGCATGACCAAGAAGTTGAGCTCTCCCATCGGCTGAAGAACATAAGTGAAACAACACTGCCATAATCAACTCGGTGGTTTCCTTGTCTGGCGACCCAAGCTCGAGCTCCACAAGCTCAAAAACAGCTCCTGCTTGAATCATCATTGAGCAGTTTCTTGGCCAGGTACAAGTGCTAAGCAACACATGTAAACCCTCCTTGATTCTTTGTTCAAGATTCTTATTTTCTCGTTGTCTAAGAATAACTACAATCGTCTTGAAGAAATCCAGCTTCAATCTCTCAAGAACATGCGAGTTTGCGTAGTTTATGAGGTCTTTTAGTAAAACTAATGCGTGGGGTTTCATTGTTGTATCATTATAAGTACTAGCATCAAAACCCAATACCCATGTTAAGGAATTTAGGATTCGATCGTATTCTTCAAGAACTGAGCGTGTTTCGTCTTCAGTAAATCCAACAAGATAGAGAACGTTAAGAGCTTCTTTTAGACCAACGGTTGTGCGATTCTGATAACAGGAAACAACGATGGTAACCATGGCTCTAACAACACCAACATCTTTGAAGCAAATTCTATTATTTTCATTTTCGGATACAAGACTTTCCAAAGTTTTAAGTGATTCAAGTTGCAGCTCCTGTAGCTTGAGGTTCTTGATGAGGTTTATGGCGATTACCTTCAGCTGCAAAGAGGATTGCTTCGATGGTGCTGGAACAACTCGATCGGATGCACACCATGCTTCGATGAGGCGGCGGAGATTGTGGTTAGGAGTGAATTCTGAGGCGATGGGTAGCAGTTGATTGGTGACTGGACAACTCTTGTTTTTTCCATGGAACTGCCACCGTTGAATACTCTCTCTGTCGTAGGTGATGCCGGTGGCGACAATCACCGGATCTTTCATGATTTGCAGAGAAATTGGACAAATGAAATAGTGGGGGACTTCTCGGTCATCCATTATTTTAAAAGAATTGGAAGACAACAAATGAAACGAATGATTATTGGATTGCTATGTGGATCTGCATCTATATTAAATTGGGTAATGTATGGATATGGTAAGAGATTGCGGCTGTTGGTGCGTGTGGGTCTCTCCTTGAATTATTATTATGTTCAAAACTTTTATTAATGTACCAATCAGAATTTTCAGCATCCAATACATACGGCGGGTTAATTGTGCCCGGTTTCGTTTTTTTTTTTTTTTTTTTTTTTTTTTTTTTTTTTTTAAGACAAAATTGCAAGAATAATAATGTGGTATTTCGAAAATTGTCATTTTAGTCCAAACAAGTTTGGACTACTACTACCGGTCCAAAAGTTTCATTTCGTTGCAAATTGGTACAATTTATTTTGAATCTTTTTAAAATACTGATTTTGCCCTTTGTATTTTATTATTTTTTACTTTTTTTTATTATAGAAATAAAAAAATAGAACCATAAAATACATCTCTCTCTCTCTCTACAATACACACCTTACTTCAATTGGGTTGTAGATTTACGGATCCAACTGGGATATTTTTAGTTACATCCGATAAATTACAAAGGCTTGGATGGAGTTACAGACCACTTGAAGAAACACTTGTTAATTTAATAGAGAGGTACAAGCAAAGTGGTATTCTGGGTGAAGAAACATCGAAGACTGCTCTTTTCGTCTCTGTCTAATCAGATCTACAAGGTCACCGGATACCACCCCCAGATATACTATATCTGTCAAACCGTTCGTCTTCTCTAGCAAACTCCTACAACGAAAACCTAACCCTAAGTGTTTCATGTGGCAACACATAGATCGAAGCTAGGGTTTGTAGCAACGACGAAAGCTTCGACAATATTCTTCTTCGACGACAACTTCGTTCTTCAGTTAGGGTTTTCCTCTTCTAGATCTGGGGAACATCAAGGGTGACGACGAGAAAATAGATGTTCAAACCTCGACGATGGTTGAGGGTGACAATCCTTCTTCTTCGGCGTCAATGTAAGATCTGAGAAAAGGGGAGCGACGTCAAAGATCTGAGAAAGGTGTGACGTAGATCTGCTTCTTTTTTCGTTCAAGCTTCTTTTCGTTGTTAGATCTACTTCAATTTTGTTCATCGAGAGGTTATGGTTTGGTTAGGGTGTGTGTTTTCATCATATTTTCTATGTGTATGTGTTCATCTAATTTTGTGTTTGTGTGTGTGTGTGTGTTCATCTGATTTCATGTGTGTGTGTGTGTGTGTTCATCATATTTCATGTGTGTATGTGTGCATACATCTGATCTGATTTTTTGTGTGTTGATCAGATCTGACTTCGTGTGTGTGTATTGATCAGATAGGAACAAACTCAAGAACAAACCCAAATTGTGTGTATGGTTTTTGTTTTTGGGATGATTTTTTGGCGGAGATGAAGTGACATTAAAGTTTAAGTGGAGATGGAGGTGAAAGATGGTGGTGGTGGACTGTGGAGGTGGCGAACAGTGGTCGAACAGTGTGACATGTTTGAACACAAGTTTCAAATTTATATTCTAATTATTCAACTCAACTAAACACAATAGGCAGTGTACCTAGTCGTGTAGTAGTAAAGTGGTGTAAGTAAGGAGTCGATCACAAAGAACGATATTCTAATGAAAATAATGCTAAAAATTAAACTAAAGAAATAAACTTTAAATGGGGGTTTTTATCTGATTTTCAAGTTCAGAAAAACTGTATTCAAGCAATCACTAAAAAAACACTTCAAACTAAATAAAACAACTAGAAAACAAGATTTAATCAAGATTTATAAGATACTTTCGTTTAGGTTCGAATCCCCCTTTTCGTATGGTTAACTTCAAGACAATGGATTAATTTTGTTGGTTACCAGTTTAGATATTGCTAGTTATGTTAGTCCAATGCTAGGATATATCAATTTATGAACTTTAACCACATTGAGCATTTAAATTAAGAACACCAAGTTGATTGTAAGATATATTTGGACTATGAATGAAAAGATCTAGAAGTATCTATCTATGGTTAAGATAAACAATCAAGCATGTATTCTGATGTAATAATGCTTTCTAACATAGTTAAAGTAATTATCTTTACCACCTACACTAGGACTTGTTCGATCACTAGCTCTAGAAATTAAATGATCATAAACAACTAGGAAACAAGTTCACACAATCAAATTGGTCATCTAACTACATAGAACTCAAAGGCAAAGCAATAAAGATCGAAACTTTAACATGTTAAGATGATGATTTATCAAACACAAGTTAAAACCAACATCATTAATCCATAAAAGTATAAACTTACACATAGTAGTAGGGTTCATCTAATCTAAACAAAAGTAAAGGGTTATTAACCCATGATTACAACAAAAACACACTTAATCAAAAAGTAATCTAGGTTAAACATTGTAAAATCTAGGAAAATCAAAAGATTAATGATGAATCTTTACTCCAATCTCTTTAAATCTCTTTCTTCAAATGAAATCAGGGCTCCAAGGGTTTTCTCAGAGGTTTTCGTTGCTTTTCGTCAAACATATCAACAGCTCTCTCTTCACGCATCCCAAATTTTGACCTAAAAATCGATATGTATACTTTCCAAAAATTAGCTTCCAAGTCGTGGCCATATGATCGCGACACCATGGAAATCATATTACACATGTATTCCGCAAGTCTCACCACCATCCAATCGAGAAGGTTCTCATATACACATTGTGGATCAGGAAATGTCACGTCGTGGATTCTTCTTTTATGAACGATTCTTCTTTTCTTCTTTTTTATGCAAGCCCCCTCTTCCAATTTTCCAACATTGTTTAGTTTTGATCTCTTTTCCTGAGAATGCCCTTCTTTGGCTACAAAATAGAATTTATACTTTATAAGTACCAAATATCTTTGCATTTAACCAAAATAAAGCTAACATGTATTAAAATAATGCACAAATATATGTATAAATATAACAATGTCAAAATACACCACATTTGTCTTTTGATTGTCCCCAAGCAAAACTTTATTTCAATACATCACATCAAAACATTGCCCAAAACAATCTAATTTGAACTTACTAATTATACATTGCCTCAATGCATTTATCTGTGTCTAATTTTACCTAAGTACTTCTTAAATCCTAAATACTTACTTTCCTCACAAACGTCCCCCCCCCCCCCTCATTTTAAAAACATTCGTTTTTGCATTCCTTCAATTTATACATTTTTATTACCCACTTCATTTCAAAAGTTATTGTAAAGCTTCCAAGCGAAATGACTTGAAAGAATATACTATATAATATAATTGTCCTAAAAATATAACTAAACTTTATTGCAACTTTATATATATTTGGAACTTTTCTCTTTTTCACAATTTTCAGCTTTTCTATCTTTTCTCAATGCTTTAAATTTCAACTTTCACATATAAACAAGCAAATAATAATTTCCAACTTTATTTATACTATACTATAGTTCGTGAATTTTTAAGAAATTTATTTGAGTATTCGGAATTCCATAGGTCACTAATGGAACCTGTGATTTTCGATGCCCATGTAGTGATTTTCTTCCCATCCATCCAAGTTTTTACATATAGGTGGATAGGTATAAATATCCCAAGGGGGGATACTCACCAAGTCTCAAAGGCCACTGATTGATCTCACTCCTAAACTGTTAATTATTTATTATATATAGCTAGACTCAAAATGTACAAATTAAACATATAATACTTGGAAAATTGACTCAGTCTATTTTAAATCAGGACCCAAGAGATAAATCGTCACCGGTAGGCTTTTATTAGGGTATAAACATATATCAAATCTGAAAAATATTATGTCCTTCAAACTGCATAATGTTGCGTTTTTGTCTCTTGATTTCACTAAGTCTGTGAAGCCATAAATGCATTATAACAAACTGGCTCAACTAAATCTTAGAGTTTTCTTTGAATCATCTCGCACAACACTACCAAACTCGTCCTAGCGCAATAATATCAAATTTTAAAAAGGTACTAGATTTTTTTTAATTAGACTATTTTTGCAAGTCTATATAATATAATTTAAAATTTTTAAATCAAGCATTTTTCAAAAATAAAACTTTTAATGTTTGGATTTTTTTTTTGACCTCCTACGTCACAATTATTTCATACAATGCCCTCATTGTATGCATAAAACCAATAAAGCAATAAAAGGAAGAAAAATGCATAGACTCCCTTAGGTAGTAGTGGCGAGATCGAATCGATTGTTGTAGGAAAAAGCATTGACATCTCCAAATTTAAGGTGGAAAATGGAATTTACTACTTTTGAATGTGCCGGAAGACGAATCAAGAACACCGACTTCTGAAAGGTAGTGCAAAAGCTTGCAAAATTATCGAATGAACATGACGTGTGTAAGTTGTTAACGATGCCATGGCATCGAACCTGAAAAATGACATATCATAATCAATGCGGATGTCATGACTTAGGAAAGTGTCGACCGCGCCATGGGAAAGAAGAATGTCTTTTGAAATCGCAATAAAGTAAACCTCCATGACGTGGCAATAGAACATCCATGTCGTGCGAATGAAGCATCTCAGAACTAAAAATCTTCTAAAACTGATCATATGTATGTGATGCTCCAATGTATAAACATCACAAGGCTCAAAATAAACTTTATGAATCCATCATAAAATTAAAAATCTCTCACAAACTCGACGTCTACCCCACACTTAGGCTCTCGATTATAGTCTTCAAACATTATGTCACGACTTTTTTTTTTCTATCGAATATTAAACCTATTTCTTATGCAACCAAGAATAAACCAAATTCCTAGAGTATAACAAGGAAACTAACATTATCATTCGGTTACAAACTCAAAACAAAACACAAACGAAAACACATCAAAAATAAAAGCATGTTCTTGAGAAAATCACACCAAACACAAAAACTAAAAATAAAAGGATAATTGTCACACATCATCATCCTTATCACGTGCTCCATTCGTGCAAGATGCAACATCACCGACCGCCCACAACTCTTCCCAAGTTGCAATGTACGAGAATTGTTGTGGCATATTAACCGGACTCTTGATCTTCAAATGTGAA